AGAACTGGGGATGGTTACCTTGTTGCACTTGTAAGGAAGAGCGTCCTAATGAGAATTATTCAAGAGGAGAACAGCTCCTCTGCCAAGCAGCAGGACCTCCTTCCCGAGGCTCTTTCCACAAAGAGGGAATTGTTTTTTTCAAGTACTGTTTGGCCTTCAGAGCCACTCTGGGTCTCAGCGACTCTATGATGCATTTTCCAGACACAATGGTACCTGGAGAAGGGATCTGCTCTGGGCTGGGGTGGAGGAAGGGAAGGGGGGGGTTGGACTTCCTTCCTTTTGGGAAGAGAAAGGACTCCCAGTGATGGAATCCATAGGTCCTTGGACTCTGAGAACCAGAAGGAGGCACTTAGTAAGTGCCTTTCTATTGATCCAGATTTGGACCAATTATTCCCCTGCTTTGGCTAAGAGGGAGTTAATCACAATAGCTGAGAATCAGACAGGGCTGGAAGGCACACAAATTATCTCATCGAGCCTCATCACAAACCTAGGCGGTAGGTGCTAATATTATTAACCCCACTTTACAGACGTTTGAGTAACTTTCCCAGGATCACAAAGGGCCACTACGTGGTGCCACAAATCTGGCCTCAGACACTTCCTAGCTGTGTGACCAGGACGAGTCACTTAACTCTATTCCCCTCAGTTTCTTCACATATAAAACAAGCTGGGAAAGGAAATGGCCATCCACCCCAGCATCTTTGCCAAGAAAACCCCAAATGAGGTCATGCAGAGTTGCACAAGACTGAAATGACTCAAAAACGACAACAAACAGGACCACACAGACAGGAGTCCGAGGTCTTCCAGATTCCAAATCTGGAGCTCCACCCCCTTGGCCATGTTTTCAACCTATGGCTGATCAATCAGTGAGCATTTATTAAGCACCTACTATGAGCTGAGTACTGTGCTAGGCGCTAAGATCACAAAAACAAAGAAAAAAATCACTTCTTTTAGCTTACCATCAGACATCATGAAGGGGCACAGACATTTTTAGGACAGCTTTCCCCCCCCAAATGGGACCTGTGATTTCACTGGTAAAAAGGGATTTCTGGTACCAAAGCACCCTGGGATCTTTTCTCTGTAACTTCTGGTCACTTCCGGCCGACAACCCAGCAACTTGCCCAGGGTCTAGGCATCAGAGACAGGGCTTGAACCCAGGCCTCCCAGACCCCAAGTCTAGGTCTCCAAACACCCACATTCCAGGCTGCCTCTTTTTCAAACATTCTGCCTTTTCAACAGGATGTCCTCTCTGCTGCCACTGCCCTGAACAGCCCCTGTCCAACTGTTGTTGGCTGGCCTTCCACCTAAGCCCCACCAAATTACAGGGACCTCTGCCCCGGGGATTCCTTCTCACAGGGGATGGAAACTCTGGGTCACTCTGAAATTCAAGAGAAACAGGGCCTGGAAACATGAGCCCCAACAGATGGCCACATCAGCTGGCTAGGTTTTCCTGATGCGACTAATCTCTCGTTCTCTGTCAAGGTTTTGGACTCTACGGTAACCATAGGAACTGAAATACACTGAACAACACATCCCACTTTGAGGCTTAGTCATTGCGGGATGAGCTCATCTTTCCAAAGCCACATGCCCGGGGATTTTTCTTCCAGAGAATTAAAAAACCAGAGCAACACCGAACGGGCTCCTGTTTCTTCTCTCTGTAGAAGAGGGCCTAGACGTTGAGATCAGCTCTCCCTCAGGATGGCCAAGGGGATGCCTCATACCTAAAAGCTCAAGGGCCAGGGCCAGGGCAGCACCAATGTTTCCCACATAACGAAAGGACAGCAAGTCACTCCGGGGGCTGGACACGTTCCTGCGCTCCTAGGACATTACGCCAAGGCACACTGGCGCTAACCAAGGTGCGAGAGATGGCGGGGGTCTCATGCCAAGCTCAGGGATCTCTGGGAGGGATGACACACACTTTCCCAGACCCTTTCCAACATTTCAGCTTGAGGCCAAGCACCAGAAATTTGACAGGAAGCCCGATTTCCTCACCAACCAAATCATTTTTTTTTAAATAACCCTATTATTTCTGCAAGCAGCAACATATGCTAGGTGAGTCGTGCACAGCCATCAAAGAACAATGAGTCCAATAGTCCTAATTACACAGCACACACTTGACAGGACATTGTCCTTCTCTGGAGGATGAGCGCTTGGCGCGTCAAAAGAAGGGGAGGTTTGAAGCCTGGTCATTGAGAAGTTCGCTTCACTAACCCCACAATGTGATGCAGCAGACAGATCCCCCTGCCACATACACATACACACACACACACACACACACACACACACACACACACACACACACCCAGGAAGATCAGTCCTCTTTGAACTAAAAGCTCTTATTATTTATAGCCATGGGAGACCAAAGAGTCATGGAATAAGAAAGAATAATACACAATAAGAGCTATGATCTTTTTTTCTTTTTTTTTTAATAACTATGATTTACATATTGCCAGCTATGTGCCAGGCTCTGCACACTGTTCTTTACAAAGATTCTCACCCGTGATCCCCACGGCAACCCTGGGAGATACGTGCTATTATTATCCCCATTTTACAGTTGAGGAAACTGAGGCAAACAGCCATTATTGACCTCAGGATCACACGTCTAGTAAGTGTCTGAGGCCACATTTGAACTCGGGTCTTCCCGACTCCAGGACCAGTGCTCAATCTGTTGGGCCACCCAGCTGCCTCAGATCTGGAAGGGACCAAAAAAGGATAGACTGAGAGCTGGAAAGGGCCTCAGAAATAATCTAACTAAACCCCTCACTCTACAGAGGGGGAAACTGAGGCTTAGAGAGAAAATGACTTGCCCTGAGTCTTCTAGCTCCCAAGACAGTATTCTTCCCGCTGCCCCACATTGCCTGGAGGACAGTAAACACTTAATAAATGCTCATTCATTCACTCCTTCATTCACCAAGCAAATTAAGAAACAGAAGGGGCCTTTTAGGTCCTCCAGTCCAGTGCTCTGCCACTATTTTACAGATGAGGTCACTAAGTGGAGCAGTGGATAGAGCTCTGTGTGGAGTCAGGAAGATGCGAGTTCAAATTCAGCCTCAGATACTTGCTAGCTGGGCGACCCTAAGCAATCACTTAACCTCTGTGTGTCAGTTTTCCTAGGATAATAATGGCACCTACCTCACGGGATTGTTGCAAAACTTGAACAAGATCCTATTTGTAAAGCCCTCTGCAAACTCTGCATTATAGGAACGCTGTTATTATCGTCGTTATTGTTGTCCAAGGTCACACAGGTGGTAAGCACAGAGTTAGGAAGAACCGATATCCTTGGACTCCAGACTGAACAGTCTCCACCACCCCACAGCCTCATCACCATCAGAGCCGCCCCTTCAGGCGGACAACAAGCGGTTAATTCACGATCATTGGCCGGGGCTATCCACTGTGTCCATCACTTACTTCATTAACCACCCAACCTACATCTTCCTTTTGCCCACGGGCACACACTACCTGGAGCACCGGAAGTTTCATCAGTTCCTGATCAACCAGCTGAGTAAACCCATAATGCCCTGGGAGCCGTGCTAACTGAACCCTAGCCCACTCCTCCTGGCAGCTTCTCCAGAGTCAAGGACCTACAGGTGTCTCAAGCAGAAATGCCAAGGAGGGTAAGGTCGCTTTTGCAACCAAAACAAAAAAAATAAAATAAAAGGAAAGAAGGGAAGTAAAAAGGAGAAGAGGAAGACGAGAGAAGGAGGGAAAGAGAAAGTGAGAGGAAAGAAGTATATTTAAGTCTACAATTAATTTTTAATAGCTTTGAACTAACAAATAGCTTCTAAGGAATGTGCCTTCTGAGGCCCACAAAACCTGGATAAGTTAAGGCTGAAAGGTACAGGCCTTGTTTACATAACACACTATGCAGGTTAAGCTCTGAAGTGTATCAAATAAGCATTCTCTAAAGGACTGCATAAGGATTGCCATTAAAATGTGATATTAAAAACCTAGGTTACGCCACATCCTCTCCACCCAAGTCCGTGGCAGAAATCAGTCTGTTCTACTCTACGCTGGATTGGACGTCCATTTCAGAGATTTTAGAGGTTTTACTGAGGATAGATAGCAGCTTGTCTCATCCCAAAATTCTCTTCCCTTTTTTCTTTTCATCAAAAATTCTCCACTAAAACATTTTCCCTCAACGGAAGGGGATCGGATGTTTGCAGTCATAAAGCCGGAAGGGCTTTTAAAAGTCACTGAGTCCAACCCCCTCACTGCAGAAGGTCCACAGAGATTTATCCAAAGCCACACAAGTACAAAATAGCAGACGGAGGATTTAAACTCGCCTCCCGAGCTTCTAGACCTAGCAGTCTTTTCTATCCACCAACCACATGGATATTTACACTTCTTTGGGGCAGAGAGGACACCATTCTCTCGGCGCCAGGGTGCCAGTAGGGGACATGTTTTCTACCTGTCCCTCGCCTAGCCACATGGGGAGTAGCACAGGGGGCCGAGTAGCAAAAGGGTACAAGATTCCACTCTGGTCTCACAGGATGTCACTGTCAAGATTACCAGGGGAGGGAGGAAAATGAAAACTTGAAATTGAAACTAAGGTTCCCGTTGAAGAGCCAACAAAATGGGGAGAAATGCCTAGATTTATGTCAGAGACGCTAATGATATCTTAACAGCCCGACAAGAAACCAGTTACCCCCATGGAGAAAGCATCAATGCCCCTAAAAACTAGACCTTGTGAGGAGTCAAGCTGGAAGGAAGTGGAAAGGTCTTCACCCCTGAGAGGGTGGTGAGGGGCTGGGGAGGGCCACTGTCAGAGGCCCAGAGGAGAGAGGCAGAACAGTCTTAACTCCAGAGAAGGGGCCCAGAGGAGGGAGCAAAGGGACCCCTGGCCTTGCCCTTGGGGACACCTCAGGTGAATACCGAATGATGTGGTGAAACAGGACAGGATTCTAAAGAAATTCCCACCCAAGGCTTGAGGCAACAGACCCTTCTTGGGTCATCGGGGAGGCGCCCAACACGAAGTACAAATCCCAGCAAGAGTGGATGGTTACCTTCGGAGAACAGTTGAAATGCATGCTGGGCACTGGGAGGGTGGTTACATACATGGTGACACACCGGTACAGGTACAGCGTGCCAACTAAGAAGAAAAATCTTCGGCTAATGATGGACCTGGAGGAAAGGGAAAAACACATCTCACTCTGAGCAAACACATTCCGCAGGCTTAGCAGCTTGGAGTTCTCCACTGCCTGCGCACAGGGAGGTTTAGGACCTGAGCGGGCCCTCCCACAGCTGAGGTCAGAATCCAGAAGCTTCCACAGCCTGGACTGCGGTGAGCCCACTCTGAGATCAAAGACAGAGATGAGCTCTCCTGGAGCAGCCGCCCCTTCCTGGCAGAGGCCAGAACAACCAACCACGTGAGAGCTACCATCACCCGTGATCATCGTAATGAGGTCCCGCCTAAAACCGAAACAAAACTTGCTCCTCTCCTGGGCTTGCCACATACGCTCCTTCCCATGCTCTATGTGCCAGGCAACTTACTCAACCTGGCAGCGCTTCCCTGCTTCTGTGAGTCTGCACAGGTCGTCTGGGATGCCTCAACTCGACCTCTTGCAACCCTTAACTTCTGTGGAGGCAGACTCTCGTGCCACTTCTCACAGGGAGCCCTTCTCAAACTATCACACATTCATTTATATGGCCAAACCTCTCACTGCCTGGTAACGCAGCGTTTTAAGGTTTGCAAAGCACTTCTCATGGGACAGTTGCTATTATATAATCCCCATTTTACAGCTAAGGAAACTGAGGCCCACGGAGCTTAACAAATTCGCCTTGGGCCACACAAATGGTAATAGGATTTGAACTCAACTCTTCCTGACTCCAGTCTAGCACTCCATCCCAGTGCCACTGAGGTCACTTGAGAGCACTAACTATTTTTCATCTCACCTCTGAATGATATGAAATGCAAGGCTCAGTGCTGGATCAACACTTATTGACATGAACTGTAAACACGGATTGAAGATACCAAACCAGGAGGTAGAGGGGGAAAGAGGTTGAACTGAGGGTGGACTTCAGGAAAACTTACTTAAGATTAGAGCCATACCAAAGGGGTTGTCCCTCAGGGGCCAGATGCCCCCCCCCTTGGGGACTGGACAGAGGGGTCTTTGGGCTGGACTGGATGACCTCAGGGGTCCCACCCCTTCTGAGAGTCTTAGATATTCCTTTCCAGGTTAGGAGAGTTGTTAACAAATTTCTGTTACAGAAAACCTAAAATGTAAGACATGAAACATGACAATGAGCATGGCTACCATGCACTCAACAGGTCAAAAGCTCTTAAGAGCGAAAACCACATATCCTGCAGAAACGTTCACATCGATCCATGTCAAACTGAAGGGGAGGGGACGGCCTCTTCATGCGGACACTAAAACACCCACCTGATGACCCTGATCCTCTGCCTCGGGACCTACCCTCCAACCCCACGCTAGCTGGTTACATGGCTCGGACAAGCACGGAGATACCAATGACAAACCTCGTAATGTGGAGAACCGGTGGGCCTTCCCACGTGCCTGGTACTGTGCTCCCCAGACTTCAAGGCACTGCCAGCCCCCTAACCAGGCCTTGGGCACGGCCACGCACTGTACCAGCAAGCCTGTACATCTGCCCCGGGACCCAACCCTCCTTTACGTGATGGGTCTCTTCCTTACAATGGAAGCTCCTACAGGCTGTCCTGGTTTTCTGTCTGCGTCCCCAAAACTTGGCATAGTGCTTGGCACAGAGTAAGTACTTGAGAAGGGGCTTTTCATTCATTCACTGATTCACTGTATCCCGATAATAAGGCACATGTTAGAAAACAAGTGTTTTAGAATCTAGTCCAGGCTATTAAAAATGTAGGAAAACAAAATAATCACAGAAGTATACATATTGCATGGGTGCCAATAGGCCCGAGACCAGATATTCTAGCCAATTTCTGTCACTGGGGACCAGATATATATATTTAATAATATATATAATAAAGTAGTCTGAAAACCTTAAATTGGTACAAAAATGTTTGCTGTTATTATCAAATGCTTATTAATTGAAGTAATTTGTTACTGTGAAAATTGTCATTCATTATATTGAGGTGTTTTTTTGTTTTTGTTTTTGGCTAGGCAATGGGGTTAAGTGACTTGCCCAGGGTCACACAGCTAGTAAGCGTTACGTGTCTGAGGCCGGATTTGAACTCAGGTCCTCCTGAACCCAGGGCCGGTGCTCTATCCATTGCGCCACCTAGCTGCCCCCGTTCATTATATTGAGAAGAAGGTATGAGAGGATGCCAATGAGTCCAGACAAATATCTGGGGCTCCCAAAGCCTCACCGGTGACGTGACTCTCTGGAAGGGGCCCGTGATCTCTAATCTTAAGTCTATGAGCCTCTGAGCACTTAGACATCCCTGCCTGGAACGTCCCAGGGGAACTCACAGAAGATCCGGGACGGAAAACGTCCTTGTGGTTCCCTGATTATTAGCAACAAGGAAGGCAGGGCGAGGCCCCAGCGGTCCTCCCTGCAGACCTCCTCAGCTGCACCAACCAACCACACCTCCTCCCTTCCATTGCCCCCTCTTTCCTTGGCCTAGGTTCTAGGGAAACTAGTATCTGGGGCAAGTTTTAAGAACTCAGTCAGTGACTGAACATGGGATTCAGATAAGGAACCAACGAGCTCTTATTAGATGCCTACTGTGTGCCAGGCACGCTGAGGGGGTGAAGATGCAAAGATAAAAAACCAGTCCCTATCACCTTCAAGGAGGGGACAGCTTGCCCTGAGGGATTAGAGGATCACATACTGAAAGCTGGAAAGCTGTGGATCACCGTTCCCCTCCCCCATTTCTTTCTACAGATGAGGAAACTGAGACCCAAAGACAAAATTCAAACCCAGGTACTCTGACTCCTCAGAAGCTAAGAGGCGCCAGAGTGTACACAGCACTGGACTTGGAATCAGGAAGACTCATCTTCACAAGTTCAAATCTGGCCTCAGACACTTCCTCGCTGTGTGACCTCAGTTTCCTCATCTGTAAAATGAGCTGGAAAAGGAAATGGTGAACCACGCCAGCATCTTTTCCAAGAAAACCCCAAGTAGGGTCACGAAGAGTCAGACACAACCGAAAGGACTGAACACTAACAATCTGGCTCCATGTCAAGCCTTCTTCCCATGGTGCCACATACCTTCTCTAGCTTCACAGGGTCCTTAATGTTGACCTTTAAATCCCCCAATGTCTACACGATCCACACTATCTCCTCCCTTCCTTCCACAGCTTAAAGGTCAGGTCCTGATCCATGTCTGTGTGAGTCTTTAGAACACAGAATAAACAGAATTCAGGGCTTTGAAGAACTCATTCAGTCCAACTTCCTTCATTTCACCAATGAGGAAACCGAGACTTAGAAAATTTACATGACCCGCCCAACGCCACACAGGTCACAAAGCCAGCCTTGAACTCCAAAGCCAGGGTTTTTCCCTCTCCAAGAAGTAGATATCCCAATAACATCTCAAACTCAACAGATTAGAGCCTTAGCATAGTGCTCTATTAAGCACATAGTAGGTGCTTAAATCAACGTTGACTGACTGACTGAGACCAAAGCTAGAAGGGACTTTAGACATCTAGTCCAACCCTGCCATTTTACAGAGAAGGCAACTGAGGCCAGGGAGATCACCCAGTACTTCACACACAATGAGCAGTTAGGTCTAGTAGTAAGAAATGGTTTTGAGCTTAGACCCAGGAAGACCCAAGTTCTCAAAACTTGCCCCAGATACTTACTAGCTGTGAGATTCAGGGCAAATCTCAGTCTCGGTTTCCTCATTTATAAAACTAGGATAATAATAGCACCTACCTTCTAGGGTTGTGAAATAATGTATTCAAAGTAGTTTGCAAACCTTAGATTGCTATATAAATGTTAATGATTATCAAATGCTTGTTAATTAAGTTAATTTGTTGCTATGAAAATTATGATGTAGAGCTCATTATATAGAGAGGAAGGTACAGAGAAGAGCTTCCTGATGGGAAAGGAGAGCCCCTAGCCCCGTTACTACGTTAGCTTCTCTGCCTCCTTCCTCCCTTCTTCAACCAAGTGACCCAGAGGCACTGGAATCCTTGGGGAGAGAGATACACAAAACAATTCTTCAGAGGGGAACTGTTCCCTGTAAGAGAGCTAAGAGTGACTGACCCCATGAATGGCATCCTCACACTGGCAGCTCAACATAGCCTGTTGACTGGACCACTATTTCCTGCGTTCACACCGGTTTCTGACGGGGATCCTTATGCTTATTTGTCAAATGGTGCGGTCTGCTCATAGAGGGAACAGGTTAATGATATATCAGAAAACAAATGAAGCCCCCCCACCCCCGAAATCTGGGAGGTGGGATTTATTTAGCTGTTTCCTCTTCAAGGACATTACCCACACTGCATCTGCTACCAGACTCAGCTCATAAGAAAAAGGCAGAGCTCAGAACCTGGCCTGGGATTGAGAAGAACTTTCTCTTTGACTCGAAGTGAAATTCCCAAGCTGACCGCCCAATGCTTGGCAACCCTACTTGGCAGATTTCACATGGGGCTGATTTCAAGACGGTATTTCCACTGAGGCAGACGGCGACCCTTGGGGTCTAGAAAACACAGTCTCTCATCCCCTGCAGTTGTGCTGCCCTGGGTAAGTCACATAAGGTCTCAGGGTCCTCGTTTACCTCCCATCCAGCTTATTCATCCACCCCCAAGGCAAAGGACAGGTTATGTGGAATGATTTCCTTTCCCTAAAGTGAGCTGCTGTTTTCTTCCAACATGTCTGCAGACTGCTGGTTTGGTCCCAGGCCACTAAAACATCACTTTATGCAGTAACAGAATTGAAACACTGACTCTTAATTGGAGATTCCTGCATTCTGAGCTGGGAGAGAGGAACCTTAGAGGTCACTGAGTCCAACCCCTTGATTCCACAAATGAGGAAACTGAGGCAGAGTGAAATTAAGTGCCCAGGGTCACGCAGCAGGAAGTGTCTTTGCTGCCTCTCCATACTCCCACCACAACCAAGTCCAGGCCCTCCTCATCCCCTCTTCCTTGGAACGCTGAAAAGAAGCCTGCTCACTGCCCCCGGTTCCCATCCCTTCCCTCTGGTCCATCCGGCACGCAGCCTCCCAAGCGGTAGGGCTAAAACATGAGTCCAACCTGGTCCCTCCCTGGCTCAAGCACAAAACACCAACTTCTCTGCTGGCCGTTTCATGCTCTTCTCCCTCGGTTCCAACCCCTATTTTCAGACTGCTTATACACGTGACTCCCCCTTTTCGATCTCCAGGCTTCCGCACAAACCACATCCCCCGTGCCCTAACCCGAAGCCACCGCCTGGCCCTCAAGACACAGCTACGTGACTTCATCAACAATCAACAGGCATTTGAGTGCCTACTATGTGCCAGGGACCGTGTCAAGGAAGGAGATGTAAAGATGAAAGTGAGAGAGTCGCTCCCTCGAGGGACCTCTGGGGGTCCCAACCCTCGGCAGTCTGTCTTTGTGAGCAGAGGAAGACAGAAATGTCAACTCCCTATAGCCACGTTGGGATGAGCCTTTCTGCACTTAGCTAGGTTGGCTATCAGACAGAAGACACACAGTCCGTCCTGCGGCCCCTCACTGAAGCCCTCCTGGTTGAGAAGGACCTGCCACAGAGAGAGAGCTCTGTGAAGATCCTTCAGAAACCCAGAGCAATCTCCAGGCCATCATCAGGTAGCGCCTGGTTTTGAAAAAAGATCCTCTCACTAAGACAGTGCGGCACCGTAGATAGAGTTCTGAACTCCAAGCAAGAAGAACCAGGTTCAAATATTTCCTCAGACACACCATGTAGAAATAATTTAACCTCTCTGAGCCTCAGTGTCCTGATCTGTAAAATGGGGATGATAACAACATGACCTACCTCACAAGACAAAAGTACCTACACCTCAGGAATGTGATACTATATGTGCTTTGCAAACTTCAAATTCCACCAGCTAGAACAAAGGATCACTGCTCAGGGCCATCAGAGCTCCCAGTTAAAAACCTGCAATGCCTGATGGGGATTAGCTGCCTCATGCCTGGAAGGCCCAAGTCTTCTGCAGGCTGGTCTGCATTCCAGTTCCAAGGACGGAATGCAATCTCGGGATAGCGCCTTGTCATAGCCCAGACCACATGGGAGGCCTCAGCTGCTCCCAAGCCTCTGTGGGAGCGAGCTGAGGACAGCTGGTGTCAATGTGGGCAAGGCGTTTCACTTCCTGGGGCCTCAGTTTTCTCATCTGTGAAATGAGGGACTAAATGCCCTCCAAGGTCCTTTCCAGGAGACAAGAGATCTAAAGCACTCTGAACCCTCAAGTGTCTGCAATTTCCAGTATTCTGTATTTACTCAGAGCTGTTTTCTTGTCTGTAAAATGGGAATCCAATGAGACAAAGTACATAAATTGCGGGGCTTGGGCCAGATGATTTTTGGGGTGCCTTTCAGGTCTTACTTTATGGCCCTAAAACATAAAGTGCTTTGCAAACCTTAAGGTGCCCCGTAAATGGGATTAGTTATTTCATCACTCGCTGTACGTACACCTCAGGTCAAGCCTCATCCACTCTTCACTTGCTGGACCAACCCCCCAGAATGCTAGGCGCCTGCTCTTCTGGAGCAAAGTCCTGCTGCTATCGCTTGTGTCTGGCTTGAGTTTTCTGAAATTCCTGTTTACGTCATCAAGAGAAAATGGCACGGCCGGGAAAGATCAGATCTCCCGTCCTGTCCTGCATATGAAGAGGTCTGAAGTCAAGCAAGACAAGCAAATGTGTCTCAATGTCCCCTTCGTTTTCCAGGGCGTCCCCCCCACCCCCCAAAAATGGAGATTTCCATTTCTAAAGTGGGAACATCGTTCCTGAATTCCAAATGTCCCCCGTTTTGCTCCGCCCTCACCTTTATCCACTTACTTGTATTTTAAGAGCAGCCACTGAATGAACCAGAGGCCCACAAGAACCAAACCGTTGATTTCACAAATAGAAAAGGCCCACTGCACCCGGTTAAAATGGTCAAAAAAGGTGTCTGGCAGGGGTGCTTGCGTCTCCTTGGGAGGCACTCGCTCGTGGACGAACGAGATGGTCACTGTAGTGAGCACGAAGCAGCACAGGGCATAGAGGAAGGCCAGCAGAGTCTTGCCCCACTCCCGGGGGTACTGGGAGCGCTCGGGTTCAGGCATGGGGATTTTGATCATTTCCAACCCTCCCTGGTAGCCGTTGGGTACGCCGTTGTGTTTGGCCTTGCTGTCGGGCAACGGGCCGTCGGCAATGATGCAAAGGTGCCCGTTGGCATGCCCGTTCTTGTGAGCCTCCAGGTGGTGCTCCATTTTCAGGGTCTCGATCATGTCCAGTAACCGCTGCCCATTGTCGGAGGAGACTCGGGAGAGCGGGGGCTTGGTGAAATCCTCCTGGGTGAGGCTGATCAAGTCTCGGCCCGTGTAATGGCCCAGGGGCTCACAGTATTCGGGCATGGCATTCTCCAGCAGCCAGTCTGTCACCGTTTGGGGTGACCAGCAGACGACTTCCTTCATTGTCCTAGCAGGCAGAGGGGCCTCCGCTTGCTCTCGATGGGTCAGCAGACCCCACTCCTTGGATGGAAGAGGCAGGCGCTCTGCAACTCCTCCATCCTGGGGGGTACCAGCAGAAACTCCTTTGGCAAGCTGGGCAGGAAGTCTTTCAAACACTTCATGGAGCAGGCCACGCTCCGTGGGCGCAGGAGAAAGCCCTCACCTCCTTCTTGGCACAATGATTCTTCTCCCTACAGAGGCAAGACACAGGGTCAGAAAGGGAAAATCGCCCCATTCCCCACATCTCCCCGCAACCTCCCCAAGCAACAAACACAGCGTGGAATAAAGAGGAAAAAGGAATCCTCGGCCAACTGTGCCACTTTAAACACATACCCTAGTTTTCAGGTCAAGTTCACAGTCCATTACACTGCCATCCCTACTAACACCTCCATACTCTCATTCGATGCAATGTACATTTATGGAGCACCTACTGTGTGCCAAGTACTACGCCAAGCACTAGAATACAACCAGAGCCAGACCATCGCTGCCTTCTGAGAATCACAGAACTTGAGAGGCCGAAAAGCTCAAAGGCTTTGGCTGACTATTCAATGATCTGTGTCTGGCATACAGTAGGTGATTACTTAATGTTGACTGACACGGGGGGCGGGGGCAATGCTAAAAACCAGGACTGGATCTATTGTTTTGTTCACTGTCCAGACTCAAGATAGTGAGGGAGAAAATTCATGACAAAGATTAAGCTGAAAAGTAAAAAGTGGGTAGGGCCCCACCACCACCACAGGCCTCGCAGCTGGATGTAAAACATTCACCGGCACACCACTGCTTCACACCCACACCCCACACTCAGTCAAGAGCCTTGACTAGGGCACATACAACAGTCCTCTTCCAGCCTGGGCCGGCCTCCTCCAGTGGGGGCAGGGAGGGAGCCCCCCACCCTGCAGGGCAGCCCATTTCATCTTGTAATAGCAGTGACTTAGCATGCTTCCTTTCATATCAAGCCCACATGTGCCCCTTGCCAGCTTCCACAACACTGCTCTTACTTGTCTCTGGGGCCAGGAAGACAGATCCCTCCTGGCTGAGCCCTTCAGGCCCGTGAAGACAGCAAGCGTGTCCCCCTCCCCAAGCTCTTCTCTTCTGTCAACTACCCACCTCCCAGTTTCATTTCTGCAGGAAGCCCTTCTCTATTCCTCTTAACTCTACTTCCTTCCCTCTTAATTATTTCCAGACATCCTGCCTTCCACAGACCCTAGCAGGGCCTGGGAGCACGGCTCTTCACCCCTCTGCTTTCTCTGCCCCGGGCTGCCTTGCTCAGCAAAGTCCTTTCCAAACTGTCATACGCGGTCAAGTCCACCAGTCCCAAAACATTTGTTAAGCACCCACTATGTGCCAGGCCCTGTGCCACGTACCCGGCGATACAAAAAGGGGCAGAAGAAGCCCCCGTCCTTCAGGAGGACAATCTGACAAGAAAGTCAGCAAGCAAACAAGCTACGTACAGGAAAACCCAGGAGTGACAAGGGACCGGAAGCTCGAGGATGACTAGGGCTTGGAAAAGAAGATGAGATGTCAGGAGCTGGGAAGGCAGTCAGGCAGGCATGGGGGCGGCCAGAGAAAACACCAGAGCAGGAGATGGAGGGGTCCCCGGTACCAAAGAGTGTGTGCAGGGAGGAAGGCATCACAAGGGTAGGAGGGGGCCAGGCTGGGATGGGCTACGAAGGCCAGAGCACTGGTCCTGGAGGTAATAGGGAGCCGCTGGAGGTTATGGAGGGGGTGCAGGGAGGTGACACAATCAGACCTGTACTTCAGGAAGGTCACTTTGACGGCTGAATGGAGGATGGACTGAGGTGGGGAGAGACCGGCCAAATGTTAACTCCTTGTCAGGCTGTGGGCCTGGACTACACAGGACGTGACCTACCAAGGTGGGCAGAGTACCCCAGAGCTAGCACCTCCTTCTATGAAGCCCTGGGAGATTACACTCTGGGGGATGGGTGGGCAGGGCAGAATACAACAGGTATGTAAACAGATCAATAAAAGACATGCATAAAAACTAGGAGAAGCTGATTCCAAGTGGACCAGAGAGACGTCAGAAAGGGTCTCGTGTAGGTGAAGAAAGCCCGAGGTTCTAGGAACAGTCCCTTCCCTTCTCTGGGCCTCAGTTTCCTGAGATGGAACTAAATGATCTCTAGGGCCCCCTTTCCAGTTCCAAACCCGTGATCCTGGGCACGCCACCGAGCGACGACATTTCTGAGCAGGAAGGGAGGGCCTTCAAGGTCAGACTCGCCTTCCCCTACACCCTGCCAATTACAGAAATGAGGAAACCAAGGTCCAGAGCTTTGCCGCTCATTCCCCAGGGAACAGCAGAAGAGGGTCTCCCGACTCCAAGGCCCTTTCCAGTCTCACCTCCAGTGGCTCGGCTGCACTTTTAAGGAAATGTAAGAAATTACTTCAAATAAAGAAACGGGCCAAGCTAAAATAACAGCGTGACATCCCCTCACGCTCCAGCAAACAGCAATTAGACAAATGGCAGGAAGGACCCGTTCTTCGCAGCAGTCGGGCCGTGGCGGCCCCAGCAGTTCTAGGACTGCCTATCCACACGGTTATCAGGAAAACCTCAGTGCAGGGAAAAATTAAAGCAGCAAAGCCAGTCATCCAGAAATATATTTACTACAGAAATAAAGGTGCCAAAAAATGAAACAGAAGTGCCAAGATTCATCCAGGATTCTTCCAATCAAAAAGGAAACCGAGTTCACTCCTGAGACTCAAAAGAAAAAAATTATCAAACTGTAAAAAGAAAATAATAAAGATTTTCTGAATGTGGGGGCATGGTCAAAAACACAAAAGTAAAAGCCAACAAGTGCTTTTCTCTTCATCTGCTCCAAGACCCCCTCGTTGGTACCAATGTGGAAACTGAGGACCAGAGGGTCAAAGATGTGTCTGCCCACGGTCACGGAGCTAGTAAGCGGACTTGAACCTGGGTCTCCTTGACTCACACCAAGGGCTGTCTCTTGTCAAATGAAAACACTGAAAAACTTAGCCGAGACCAAGAGGGAAGAAGAAATGCGGGTGGTCACAAACACCAACTAACTTCAATTGAAGCAGAAGCTCCCACTCTGCTTTATCTGGGAAGAGCTTGACTTGGTAAGTAATCCACTGACATCCACACTCCCAGACAGACTCTAGTCCACAGGAGCAACGTGAGGTCAAGCACTGGACAGTCAGTGGGCTGAGGAGCTCCCAGTGTGAAAACTCCCTCCACTGATGCCATCGCCACCCTCTCTGAAATTGACCGTCTTAGAGAACCCGCTAAGAGGGTGAATGAATGGTCCAGGGTCAAACATCCAGGAGGCACCAGACTCGGGACTTGAACCCAGGACTTCTTACCTCCAAAGGCTAACAGTACTGCTTGAAGCTACCCTGGACGTGTGTAGTAAAAATGATAAGCATGTATTAGGGAAGACATCCCAAGAACAGCCTTGTGTCTGGGTGAGCAGGAAGGGTTCTTATGGCATTGGTGTGGAAACCTCTGCTAATGCTGACCGGCCACCGCTGGACATTTCCGGCCTTGCCTGGGACACTGAGAAGGCCTCTTCTGGCCAGTGTGGGTCAGAGACATCTCTACCCACTATACCACACTGCCCCATATTATTCGTCCTTGCCTTACTGGCAAGAAAGCTATGGCTGAGAGGGACAAGTGGCCTGCCCAGAGACAAAGGGAGTCCAAAGCCAAGCTCAGTGTTCTTTGTCCTACGCCACTGCTGCCTCCGCTGGTAACTACCACCGCTGCCAATTACCTGTTTCCAATTCAATCAGACAACAAAAGACAGCCATCAGTTCCCCTCCAAGTCATTTGGTCCCTACCAAAATGTGGCACCGTCCGCACCACAATACTTGCAGCAGCCCTCTTCTACACAAAGAATCAGAGACAAGGGACGGGGACTCACTGAGGCAGGCACCTCCTAAGTGAGGCAGTGATAGCCTCCCTTTTCAGCAAGGCTGATGAGACTGAGGTCAGCGCATGTAATGGAGCAATGAAGAGAAGCATAAGAAAACTCATAGCAACAGATGCAAAGCATATGTAAGCGTGTCACGACTTATCAGGAAAGAGTAAATCAAACAGAGAAATGGAAAAGCAGAGCCAGCAGGGCAGTAAGCCCACAGGGACCACAACCATGGAAATGGAAGAAGCTCAGAACCACAAAAGGAACGTCACTGCATGACGCGGAATCAGAATGAAGCATCTGCTGAAAAGAGGGGGCAGGAGGGACCCCCCACCTTCTGCTGAACTCTGTCAGGTACTTGGTTTTCTTCAGTTATTTTTTTTTCTTCTTCTTACAATTCTTTGTCACAAGGGAATAGCTTGCCGGGAGGGACAGGAGGAGCGATACATTGGAAAATTTTGGTGAAATTTTGGTGAAAACAAAAGCTAACAATATGACTTTTTAAAAATACACAGAAAAAAAAAAGAAAAGTTCCTAAGCCCAACTCTGATACCTGTAAATGTTGAAGAAGAAAGGGTGCAGAAGATGGGGGAGTGAACATTGTCTAAGGAGACAAAAGAAGCATAAGGGTCCACGTACGGCTGTCATACCCCACAGTAACCAGGCCCAATACCAGGAGATCCAAGCCAAGAGACAGCTGCTACCTGCAGCTTGGTGCCCCTTGGTAAGACAAGCAACCTCTCCAAACCTCAGTTTCCTCATCTGTAAAACAGGGATAAGTTGTAGCCCCTAGCTCACAGGGTTGTTATGAGCAGGCCCCAACATGCTGGGGGGGGGGGCCGAGCCCAGCCAGGCCCCAAAGGCCTGACTCCAGAAAATCAAGCACCCAGAGGGGCCCCAGGACTTCAGGGGACACGCAGAAGGCAGAGACGGCCTGGGGCTGGGCTCACCCCAGGGGAGAAGGTCCACATGCACACTGCCTCCAGAGGGGTTTCCATTTCTGTGGGAAAATGACAGGTGGCCCTGAACTGGGTGCATGTGGCAAGCGGTCAGAGCTGCAGTATCTGAAGAAACCCAGAAGTAAGAATCCCTCCAAATGTAGCAGGCATTAGCCTGCTGCTGCTGCTGCTGCTGCTGCTGCTGCTGCTATCAGTACTACTACTACTGCTGCTGCCCCTGCCAGAGGAACAAGGCACCAGGGAAAGCCTCCGATTTCCTCAGTGTGGGCACGCTTGCCACCCCAGCTGCTGTGGCGTGGAACAAA